TCATCTTTATGCTCTTTCCTTCATCCTAAAGACAGTGAGCAAGACCATTTCATGGTTAGAAAAACTGATCTGAACTAAGCTGGGAAAATCAATCGCACTGTAACGTTTTCCTCTGTTTCATCCTAGGTTCATTCAATAATAAAGTCGAGTAATTGGTACAGCTGACAAAACCTAACCGATGAAAACTGTCAAAAGTTTTCATTTTTCGTTCTGTAATGAAAATACACTCTATGTTGTTCGTTTCTGCACGTCAATCAGGTTCAAGGTGTTTTCGGCCACGGGAATTCGTGTAGTCCTTCTGTTCAAGTTTTACTGCATATGGTCAATTTGCTGTACATCGAGGAAATCATTACATAATGGTCTGTTTCGCTCTTTCATTTGTTCGAACAGCTAATGGAGCGTACCGTCTCGAGAGTAACTGGAGGTTTCATCGCACTAAACGTCTTCCCGATGGTCAGATCCGATCACCTAGCTACTCATATACCCTATGCATTCAATCCTGATGCATTTGTTTGTGTGTGCTCGTGTGTGTTGCAGAGATATGTATCACGTATTCTCATCCTCATTTTGTTCCGGTTTCTTCGACCAACCCTGCACACAGGATGTTTTGCAAGATATTTGGACTGAACGCAAATCCCTCAATCTGATCTCATCGCATTCGCACTACAATGTGGTCGATTCGGTCGAACTGATCCCCGCGAACGGACGTGTACGGTCGCGTAGTTGTAAGTCTCCCAATAAATACCATTCGCATATCGATTTGTTATTTCCGTTGCGGTGAGTGGTGAAGTGTCAGATGCTCCCGATATGTTTGTCGATCTACCAACAGTATCGCTCATTGACACACTCTGATCACCGCGTTTGTTTATATCGGATGAGTGGTAGGATATGGAAGTGGAAAGTAATTGATCATGTAATGCCAGACTGTCATACAAAAGCATTGGAATCACCGTATCGCCGGTTCATCGTTATGAGGAATTGTCAGCAATTTGTATATATGGAGTTTGGCGTGGCTTCAAACCTATCATAAGAATGAAAAAGCTATACAGGGGATTCCAACGCCTTTCAGTGACCGCTGAACTCCGTGCGGTGAATCATTTTCCCATCACTGAATAAAGTATTGCTCCAATTAATGAAGCCACATAGTCTATATTATGCAAAGTGGGCTACTACGATGGGGGAACATGTATCACGGAGTCAATCTTTGTACCAATGACAGGAGTTGTAACCCAGTAAAAGAGATAGATAGGCGGGCGTCATATATGCGGTTGTAGATCAATCGATTGAATGAACCAGGTCGTATAGTCTGGTGGTCACGTGCGGAAGTCACAATCTTTCTAATTTTGATACTTTTGATGATGACGCAACCACTCAGTTATCGAGAAAACAAACAAAAAGCTAATCGTTAAATAAGGAAGTAATAAACGCCAATCAGCGATGGATGACTAAGTGATAGGCAAATGCGTGTCTGATGCCTTCTTCAGGTCTCGTTTCACGTACGTTTGAACGAACCGTTTCGTTCAATCGACATTCGTTTATATTGTTTATGAGGTTTTTCGTATATGGTTGTTGTCAGGTAGATTTTGCACCGGGTGATGTGTGAATGGGATTGTTAACTCTAATCTCAGGGTCTCATATCTAGGAATTGTTCAACAGGAAAGCTTTTTCTCATCAATGCGATTACCTTTTGGTAGATGAAAAGGTCATATCAATCTTACTATGATTCAGAGCCCCATGCTTTGTTTGCACCTTGTGATACGAAAACCACAGGTCCCCTTTTTTTAAATATTTTACTTCCTTTCCCTATTTATTGGAAATAAAAATATACATTCAACTTTCAGGAAGGGGGCCGGGATCATTCAGATGCGACTGCTTGATGAGATACAGAAATGGAGCAGATGACTGGAAGGTTGTGACTGTCAGTGGCCTGATTTAGGAAGATTCAGTAGCATTCCAATCCACAGGTCCATGTTAGAAATTCGCCAATGCTATCGGGCACATTGTTCGCTCATGGTTACTCGCTCTCTCTCTCTCCATTCTGTAAACGTATATTCGCACACTAGTGCTTTATCTACTCTTGTTCAGGATGCTGGGAATCAGGTGGAGGTTTTAACCCGATAGAACAACGTTGCAAGAGAAAGCATATATCTGACCACGAGGTTGTACTCAAACGAGAATGTCTTTCGGCTGTTGACGAAATGTTCCAGTGCCTCTAAGAAGGTATCCTCGAAACATGAACGGAATACGTGCTCCACGCCATACGGACGTGGCTTATTTACATTGACTCCCAAATAAGTGTGATTTTTTTCTTTACTTTCTTTTTTATTAAGTATACAAAGATACCATTTTCAGGAAGGGGGAAGCAGCTAATCAAAGGGCCACCATACAACACATAATGGGGAAAGACAGACGGTGGAATTGGGATTCGAACACACGACCTCCGAGGTGATAATTGGTGATGTTACCACCGTACCTTCACCGCCCGCTTGTGGATGCCTTGTTTTTATGTTCAGTACTATTTTCTCTTTTCATAAATACTGAGCAATACCAATTTTACTCGACTACTGTTTATTATGTGACTGTCTGAATTAGAGGTACTGTGACAACCCAGAAACGGTTAAGATGATTTTTCTCTGTGCATCAGTTATTGGACTAAAATGAATGAACATTTCGTCCATCACTCCGGGCATCCTTTCTTGAATACCTCCCGTTTCAGCCTCGATTGGGTCCGGATCGCTTTCCTCGCTGCCGCAACGATCTCCATCACCCAATGAACTGCGTGAAATTCAGCTGTCCGATTTGGGAACTCACGGGGAGTCAGATGAGCTAGATCAGCTGGTTGAAAATCCCCGACGTCGAATGACTCCCGGTGAATATGTGAGCCTGATACGGG